CCCGGTCTTTTTTTAGGGTTTCCCCCCCCCCCCCCGTCTCTCTCACACTCCCTTGTCTTCACTGCCTCTGTTTATCTCCATCTCTCCCCTCCTCCTTCTCTCCCTCCATCCATCTCTCTCTGGGGTGCAAGTTCTACTAAACACTTCTCTCTCTCTCTCTCTCTCTCTCTCTCTCTCTCTCAACGCTGCATCTCAGAGAGCTGATTCTCCAGTCTAACGCATCTATACAGACACACAGACACACACACACACACACACACACACACACACGGTTTGTATGGACATACAAACACTTGCACGTCTGAGCTGAGGAATCCTGTTACACGCTCTCCACTGCAGCTTCACACACTCGCAGATGAAACATGCGAGACAAACATGAAACATGTGACGCAAAACCAACTACATGCTTAACCATCGTCAAGCCCAGTGGTCGGCAACTGGAGGCCCGTGGGCCAAAACTGGCCCTGCCAGCAAAAACATCTGGCCCGCTGGATTATTTGATAAAATAGATCTCCGTCTGAGCAGCAACAGTTTCCCGCAGAATCACTTCCTCTTTAGTGATTTTGCGATAAAAGCGCGATAAAGTCTGTTTTGTTTTTTGTAGCGACAATGCTTTATTTCAAGCTATTGTGAGCTTTTATTCTGAAAAGTTCTGAAAGGAAGTTCCAAAGGTTCTATCGCTCGCTTCACAAGTAAAGTAAATCAGTCAGATGTAGAATATGTGACTGTGAGTGGACGAGCTCACAAACATCCGAGAGAAGCGCCACAACAGCAGCAAGATAGGAATCACAACTTCCTGTCAGGACTTTCAGAATAAAATCAGAGTGGAAACAGAAGGCAGACGATGAGCGAGATGGTGGATTGTGATTGTGACCCTATGACTGTGGGCCACAGCGCCACATGTGAACAGTAAAGTCAATTCCAGTTGCATCTTTATCAATATCTTAAATTAGCCTTTGATTATATTCTGGCCGCCATCTAATGGAGTAGAAAAACGTTGCCCCTGCTCTCGGCTTTAAAATACACAGGTCTGTCACATTGTCTGAGGATGACGATGGTCTGAACCTCAACACGCCAACAGACTGATGTTAGCCTGCTGCTAACTACGGCACCATCATCGTAACCATGTCGGAGTCAGCAGCCACAGAGAGACGAGCGAGATCAACAAGTCGTCGCAGAGTCGCGTCACGTGGACGGTTCGTGAGACAAGATTACGGCTTCGTAGCCACGCACACGTCACAATCCAACCGCTCGTGGTTTCTCTGGGTCACGGCCTCACTCTCGCGGTTCCGGCTAACGCTTTCAAATCGGCCACGATAACATCACACTCGCCACGTTCATGACAGTGATCTGCAGCTGCGGCGACAAGCGTTACAGCTGAGCGCAGCAGGACACGAACACAAGCAGTCAGACGATCACGCCAAGCGGTAAACAACCATTTAATCTGAAGTCCTTAACCTGCAATTACACTGGAGGTGAGAGCACCTGGAGAACTGAGAGCTCACACTGCTGCACTGAGTGGCTGCTTCTCTTCATGAAACTGATGCTTTGTTTGCTGCTAATACATTTTGATTTTGTTGTTATTAATGATGTTAATTTTATCATATATATATATATGTAATCTATTTGTTTCTCATCATTTTTCTGTAGTCACATTATTTTCTTGTATGTTTTATTTTGTATTTTTATAATTCAGTGATATTTCTACATACTTAGGTGGAGGCTTTAAATAAGCACTGTACGCCGTTTGTTTTCCTTGTCATTTTCTGTGTATTTTAAATTGTGCAAAGTAAATAAAACTCAAAACTAAAACCAAAGAAACTGTTACTAGAAACCACACGAGGAATTGCGGCCACAACTATGAAAATATCACTCAGAAGGATGAATAAATAGCCGCTCTTCCTATCGTCAGTTTAGTGGGGAATGACAGATCAGTCCTCTTCACTTCAGTGGTGCAGACAGTGCAACTTCCCCCAGAGACAGACAGCACACACAGCAACGCGCTGCTCTACTGAGCTGTTATATAAACAGCTCTGCTGCAGATACAGCTGATCGGTTTTTTCCTCAGCGTTCACAGGGACGCTTTGAGCAAGAAAAAACCCGACGGCGCTGCGAGAAAACGGTGAACGCAGAACCCGACTTACAGCTCAATCAGCCTTCAAAAGAACAAGAGCGGGGAACTTTAGCGTCGACAGCAGTGGGTCTCATCCTCTCATCCTTCAACATGCACAAGAGACAAAAACACTAAATCAAAAGGAGCCTGACAGACGCATGAAGCGGTGACAAACCCGCAGCTGCACTGCAGAGCTGCTGTAGAGACGAACACAGCAGCACCAAGCGACAACACTTCACTCACAGCAGTTCTCAGTCTGAATTAGATTAAGACTAATAAACCTGCAACATATTAGACGCATGAGCTCACCGATGATAAAAGGATACACTTTGATGGCTCCCGATTTTGTGCCGATGGCCATTAGCTGCAGCTTGGGGTCAAAGGCCAAAGCACTGGGCTGATGTGGAAACCCATGCTCCACAGTCTACAGGAGAAAGACAGACAAACAGATGAGAGAGAGACATGAACAGATGACACAAGAAAACACTCATTCATTTTTCTGATTTTCCCTAATTCACCCTTTTCTACGTCTGCGCGCCCGTCAGACTCGTGGTCGGCGAGGCGTCTGACAAAGGGACGACTCCCTTAATAAAGTTGGAGGGAAGTTCTTAAAAAGCACTAATGGCAGCAGCTTTGCTTTATTCTGACACTCTGTAGGCCGTGTTAAATGAGATGAACATAAATTCACAGCCTCTCTTTCTGCCCGTGTGACGAGAAGGCGAGACAGCTGGGAAAGCATTTAGCTCTATAGAGACAAAAAACAAACAGAAACCACGTAGAGAGAGACACCTAAAGAGGTCGGGAGGACTTTAAAGTTCTGTGGCCGAGGACCGACGACCGGGTTCTGTGACAAAAACAAATCTGGAAACACGCTCTGCAGCTCAGATATGAAGTAAAACATTAACCTTTCTTCAAAGTACCGATTCTATAACACAAACACACACACACACACACACACACTGACAAACACAGTCACATCAAAGCAACACTCCTGTTGAGAGACCACCTCTGTGATCGTTGTGGCAGCTGGTGCCAAACCTTAGAAAAGTGTGTGTGTGTCCGTTGTCACGCAGCAATAAAAAGTTAATGGACTTTATTAGACGACATTTTGCCGACCTGAATACACTCTGTTAGTGTGGGAAAGCAAAGGGAAGTGTCCACTTACACCAATGTACCATTTCCCTCATTTGTCAAATATCAGTCAATGAAATATCTTTCTGTCTGACAGCACATGCAATCTGATGGTGTCGCTCCAATCAAGGTGCGGAAACACCTCACAGAAGATATTTCAAGTGCCACAGAAAAGCATCTGAATACTTGTGATATTTCAGTTTTTCCTCGTTATTTAATCAGCAAAATTATTTTAGCAAAATGGCTGCAACAATAAGTGTGACAGGTGAAGGGGTCTGAATACTTTCTGAATGAGAAGGTTTCTATTTGTTTGTGTTTGAGTCAGAGAGAGAGTCGTACTTCTGAAAGTTTAATGAAGGTTCAGGTCATGAACCAAAGAAAACATTGTGCATTTTAACTCTGTTCCTAAACTATGGAAAACGCTGCCAAGAGCTAGAAGAGACGCTCAGGGAACATTTTAAGATTATTCAACTTGGATTTTAATTTTACTATTCTTACTGTTTTTATTTTCATTTACATATTCCATCATCTTCTGTCTTTCTCTTGTCCTTCAATCCGCCCTCATTTTATTTTACTATTTGATTATTGTTATTGTAAAGCACTTTGAGCTACATCTCTGTAGCACTCTATAAATAAAGTTTATTATTATTATTATTAATTAATATTTCCTGTGACCAAACAACAGTGTCAAAATCATGCAGCTGAATATTTTCCTTCATATTTTTCTATAATTTTTTTGCACTGCTTTTCTAGATGATCCTGTTGGAGTGGGGTTCATTTTGTTGTGTCACCCAGTGTGCGTGATAAACTCTGGCTTTCAACATCAAAAAGTTTGGACAGCGCTGCTCTCTGGAACACTCTGCTCTACTTTTTGAGTGACACAGTGTGCAGACAGACGACGGCCTCAAGGCCACCGCGGTGTTCGACCCCTTTTGGCGAAGTTTCAGCCGCTCCAGTAGATTAACCTGCAGCTGATATTTGATTTGCACGATTATCAATACATTCCTGAGACGTGACAAATGAGTCGTGCAACCTACTTTTAGGGCAGCAACAGTGACGACATTAGTCGTGGGAATCAAGAACCTGCTCGAGTTGAGAACCAAAGAAATCCAAAGTGTCCAAACCGTTAGAATCGTACGAGTTTATCGATTACTTTTATCGACGCTGGCGTGTTTTTCTGACAGCTGTGCTCTGCAAATATAATGATTTCAAACTCACGCTGCTGGAAACGAGTCACGGTGGAGAAATGGTGGAAACGATGGCTTCATTTCACAAAGAAAGATGACGAGAGCGAGAGCGTTGTAACGTCTGTAAAATGGTCATTTCAGGTCATGTATCTGAAACTGTACACACGAGTGCCGCTGCTTCCTGACCGAGCAGCACATCTGTTACGTTAAGGGTTAAACATCCTATGTTATAACAACATTATCTCCACGCAGGCTGGCTCAGCAGATTTTGTGTTTGACTAAGACTTGTGTTGAGGCTGAAAACCTGTGTTGGGCCTACCACACAGAAAACTAGTCAGGAATAGTTAAGACAATCAATAAAGGATCAGAGCGATCAACGAAAGCTGTGGTATCAATAAAGTCTTATCGATTCCCATCCCTGGACAACATGCAGCTTCCTGAAAGAGGATCTCTCCAGCAGACAGAGGGGAACGGTGAGTACACATGTTAATTCAGGCTTCAGGAAGCTGAGATTCACTGGACGTGAACTGGTTTGTGTCCGTGCGGACGAGATCCCACAGTTGAGTTGTATGAAACTCGACACTCGTGGTTTCACCCACAGACCCTCGACAACTGAAACAAGGAGGTCTGAGCTCTCAGCGAGGAAAACCCCTCCGCAGGCTGATCCTCACGGAGCTGGACCAAGAACACAGCTGCATTACATGAGTCAAAGTATAGATAGAGTTAAAGTACTTTCTCTTTCCATCAGCTCGTTGCTGTTTTGTTCCACATTTACAGAATCTAAAGCCTCAGAAGCGACTGACTGAAGCTCTGACTGACTGTAGAACCTGTAGAATAAACAGCTTGTAGAACATGAAACACAGCTGATAGAAACGGCCATAAAAACACAATTTAACCAACAAAACGACGCCAACTACAAACTGTTCATCTGGACATAAACAGACATGTAACACCTGGACACGCTCTCTAAAGTGGGACGGCAGATTTCTGCAGGTAGAGATGAACTTTGTTCGTGTTAAACACAGAAAACATTTTAAACTAAAGGAATCTTTATTTAATTTAAACATGTTAAACATGAACTTGAAGAATCTTCTTCCTCATCTTTATCTCGTGGCCATCGTTAGGACACTGACAGGTTCAAACATGGCCGACAGTGGAGGAGCCGACTGTCAGTGGTTTTTCTCAGTGTCTGGTCTGTCACACTTTCAAAATAAAAGAAGATTCATTCCTCTGACTAAAAGCTCTGCTTCAAAGTAAGAGTTCTTCACTTCACAGAAATGTAGAAGTTAAAAGTACAATATTTGTCTTTTAAATCTTTTAAGTGTAGGAGCAGTAAAATTCAGAAGTTTACAAAAAGAATAATACTCAAGTAAAGTACAGGTACTCTATAAATACACTTAAATACAGTTCACAAGTACACACAGTGTGGTGGTAGCTTCTGTGAGAGTTAAACTGTCACCACACTGACAGCCATCTTGATCGATATCCGAAGTATTGATCACACCATGTATCAAACCCGCTGCAGCACAACTCTAACTGATTCTGTTCATCTAAAGCCGCTAATCCCCAACGACACTGACACGATCAGCTGCCGGTGATTAATTACAGTAATGTCGGGTCTGCAGAGAAAAGTTTCCCCCCCGTTCACTTTTTGAACACTGGCCTCGTTTGGGTGAGAGCCAATTAACACGCCAATTAACAAACTGAGCCTCATGCACGCACACACACACGCGCACGCACGCACAGACACACACACACACATCAACAACGTCCAAGTCCAGCACTGGAACCTGTGTTAGCAGCTAATGTGTGTTTCTAGCTGCAACTGCTGCACAACTTCAAATCCCGTTTTCAGAAAGACTGTTTTTAGTTTCGGGGAGCAGCGGAGGGGGAGAGGGGGGAGAGGAGGGAGGAGGAGGACTCCCCCCTCCTCCTCCCTCCTCTCCTCTTGTCCCGTTACTTTACCTTGTTGAAGGCGAAAAGCTCCTGTTTTATCTTCTCTCTCTGCGGGTCGGTGCCCTGCCGTCGAAACCTGAACTTCATCATCTTGGAGCCGGGCGGGAGGTTAGGCAGGACCCGGTGGTGGTGTGCTGGTGTGGTGGGGTCCGGGGGGGGGGGTGGGGGGTGGGGGGACGGAGAGGAAAACACGGAGGGTAACGACCCGCGGTTCTCGGCGGCAGGAGAGGACGATGCTAAAGCTAGCTAGCTAACAGACTAGCCCATGCAGGCTGAAAGCACAGCTGCTGCTGCTGCTGCTGCTGCTGCTGCTGCGGCGGCGGCGGCTCTCCTCCCTCCTCTCCCTCCTGGAGCTGTTTAGGTCGCGGTGGGTTTGACCATAGCCCCCTCCCCTCTCCTCCTCCTCCTCCTCCCCCTTCTCCTCCTCCTCCCCCCGCCCTCCGTTCCTGTTCCCGGTTCACACGGACCCCCGTTACTGTTAACCAATGAGGGCGAAGGAATCTGCGAGCAATTTACACAGAAACGCCCACACAGCCCCGCGCTCCGGAGGGGGGGCGCTCGGTTTGAAACGCAGCACACACCGGAGACCAACGTCCCAACTACAGGCATCAATACAAGGCAATAAACGGCGAGTCTGATACACAAAATGAAACTATCAGGCGGTAAATAGCCACTAAGAGTTAATAAAAACTAAGCAATTGTTGAGCAATTGTTAATATTTTATGATTGTATTTTTTTTGCCAGACATTTGGGATATAGTTAATAATTGGATGTTTTCTGTTTTGTTTTCCTCCAAAGATATTACAGATCAGGTGACTGATTTCTGAAATGAAAACCGGGGAAATTTCCAGTTCAATGTAAATATACCATTAATATCCAATGTTTTTACCTATGAAATAAAAAAGAGGGACAGTCCTGGTGGTGTATTTTGACCATGGTAACTGCTTGTAGTGTAAGAAACTATGGTGAAGGACGACTGATAAAATGACCACTCCCTACTTTTGAAGTTATGCAAAGTCCAACTGTCTATCTATTCCTCAATTATTTATATTCCCACAGATCAAAATAAGAGTATTCCAGGTTGTGAATATTGTTGCAGACAGTCTGGTAACT